GGTTGAATATTTGGGTGCCTTTTCGCCTGGTGAAAAGGTTTCGGCAAAGTGGCGAGTCTTGCCTTAACTCGTCCCTATTCCTATCGTATCTTGACAGCCAAAACAGTCAACAAAAGCATGTGAGGGTGAAGTAGCCCCGATTATTGGCGTGAACTACGCAGTCTATTTTTCTGAAAACCCTGGGATTTTGAAAGCAACTGACTGTTCTTAACTTATTTCTCAGGTCGTGCCACGATATATGGTTTGACTTTAATCGTGGGGTCACGCAGTTTTCAGCGAACAGTATCACTTGATCTCTCATCTCTGATAGAAAGTTTAATTTCAGTGTGTATTGGAGTCAAATACCATGTTTAATTAAGAGATCACTTCTTAGAGTGATATTGTTTTTTTTTCTTCTGTGTACATCTTACAATGACCAATTACATGAACATTACTGCAACTTATTAAACACAAGATAATGAAGACTTGCAGTTGTTCTAAAACGAATCATTTCGTTGCAGTTGTCGCATATCAACTTTGCCTAAAAATGGGAGACGTGCTTGGAGACGGAACCGAAGGAAATGTTTTCATCCAGCTGTTTGGTGACAAAGGAATGACTGAACAAATACAACTGAGGCAAGCGGGAAATTCCAAAATACGCTTCGAGAAAGGAAGAACCTACAAGTTCACTGTTGAAACAGTCGATATTGGCAAGGTAAGGTTACTCTGATTCTTGCCGTAGATTATAGTGTAGTTCTTCTCCGTTTAGAATGTGGTTTGCCCTTTAGAATTCTGTCGTAGAATACAGTGATGTGTATTTTTTTTTGCCTGCAGCTTTGCTAGCAGGCTCTTCATTCGGGAGAATCGCAGCGTCACCCAACGTCAATTTTCGGAAAATATCTGTTCGGAAGACGATTTGAGATCTAGAATTTTCGGAACATTTTTTGTAAAATTTCTTGCTTGCCTACCTCTCGTAGGATTTTCGAACATCTAAAAATTGTTATAATTGCCCATTTTTAACGGATTTTTACCCTAAAAAGCTCACCTAGGATTTTCGGAAGCCTTTTTCCTGGCTGAAATTTTCGAAAAGGTAAGTTTTGATCCCTATAATTTTCGGATCTCTAGACTTTCAGCTAGGAAATCCGAACAGATGAGAAATTTTTAAGGGGATAAAAATATGCCTATATCTACCGTTTAAATACTAAAATAGGTTTAACAACGCTATGTTTAGGTGGTTTTGAACTATCTTCTCGTTGGGTGCCCCTGGAATCGGTCAACTCTCGGTCTTCCGCTGGAGAGCTAGGTGGAAGGCTGCATCGATGTTTGCTACACATTGAACGTTCTGTCGATGTGATTTTTATTAAAGTTAATAATCAGCAGTGCCGTTTGTCGGACGCGTGGTACATGAAGATTTAATAACTGGCGTACTTTGCCTCTCGTCTCCTTGTAGCTCTGTGATCAGAGTGCTGGACTGTTCAGTAGAGCCTTATTCAATCCCTCGGTTTTTTTCCATTCTGTCACTTGGGTTCATATTAATTTATATTGAGCGTCAAAAAACAAAAACCAAAGCAGTTACTCTGGCCAATTGCAACACGTACAAACAATCAAATGAGCATTAGGGACTTTAAGATCCAACGACGCGGACGACAACGAGAACTTCAAAAAAACAATTGGTTTAATTAGCAAAATAACAACTTCGCACGTGCATCACACTTTTTTGTACATTTCTTCCCCATTTTTGCACGACAACGACGTGAAAATGCCTAATTTCGCGTTTTATGGAGGACGTAAACAAGTAACGACGAAATTTTATTCTGTTTCTGAGCTTGAATTTGGTCCCTTGAATTCATCTTCAGGAGGGTTCGCCTACAATTGACAAAGTTAGTGGGCAGGAATAATCGCTATAAAGACTGAAAGAACGCAAATTCACTTATTAAGCGACGTTCTTGTCGCCGTCGCGTCGTTGGATCTTAAAGTCCCTAATCACAGATGACGCGGACGCCAAGCATGGGGAATCTCGTGAGTGAGTCTATCAGGTCTATTGATTTTGGGTAAAAAAAATTGGCGCGAGATTTTTCAGCTTAAAGCTCAGCACACTCAAAGCTTAGCAGTGCAATACCAAGGTACAGACTGTAGCTACGCTCAGTTGAAACCTCGAAAGGAGCATCCCCTCATGAAAGTTCAAACGACAACCAGTTCTCATGTATGTTCATTACGACACGTCACTCGTTTTCCGTTTATTTTAGATTGAAAAGATAAGCGTAAGTCACGACAGTCGTCACACCAACTCAGGCTGGTACTTAGAGGAAGTAACGGTAGATGTACCGTCACGCGGTGACCACACTGTGTTCCCTTCGCACTGTTGGTTGGCTTCTGAGAGAGGTGACGGCAGAGTTGTACGGGACTTTACCTCAAGACCTTGTGAGTATTAGTGTGATATCATCAAATGACGATAATCTATTCTCATTAACGTTACCTCAGTTGTTGTCGAACTGACGTCAATCACTGATAACAAAAAGTCTTTTTCTGATGTGTCTTTTGGCTTAGAACGGTTTGCCATTGTAGCTTACAAAAGAAAGTATACAATTGTCATTTGTATTCCCCGTAGTGTTGTTTCAATTTCGTCAGGTCATGTGTAAAGAAGCATGAATGTAACTCATCATCCCCACGCATGGTACTTGTAATTCTGTCATTTCGTACCCAGTGTCGGTTGATTAGCTTCGAGTTTGTAGTCGATTAGCAACCAGATATAAAGCCTTTTGAGAAGTATATCGATTAAAACAGGGTACCTCAACCGCGTAGGGGGAGTGGGGAGGGGCGCTCAATGGAAGTTGGGTAGAGGTGTGCCGCCGAGGCCTTCAAACTCTGACCCTGCTCAAGACAAAAATTGCTCATTTCGATATCCTGTTTAAAAGCTTATTTCATTACCCTGATACCTTTCGTTTCGCGTACAAATTTCAGCAATTTTTTGGGCTACCGTCATTTAGTGTGTTTTTTTAGAAAAAAAAATTCTTGGTACTACACATGTACACCGCTCATCGCCAACGTTGACACTCTTTTGAAAGCTTTCGGTCCAAAAAGACACCCTGTTGAAGACGCTTAATAGTAAAATTGTATTCCATGTTTAAGATCCAGGACCCTGAAAACCATACCCTGTTCAGCGTCACATACCCGTTTAGGCCAACTCTTGTTTAGGCCAAGTAATGGAGTGCCCCCAAGGGGAAGGAACAACTAACTGTATTTGGTGGCGTTGTTGGAAGTGGTAGTTTTATATCTTTTGCAATCGGCTCCTGGTGTAGGTCTCTACCACTTGGCCATCAAGACAGGAGACGAAAGAAGCGCTGGTACAGATGCAAACGTTTGGGTTCAAGTCTACGGTGATAAAGGCGACACGGGACACGTGCAGCTCAAGAAATCAGGAATGATGGAGAACTTGTTTGAACGTGGTCAGACTGATTATTTCACTTTAGAAGCTGGTGATGTTGGAAAGGTCAGTTTTGATATCTTAAGCCTTCATCAGTTTGTTTTGTTTGATAAGCGCTGTGCAACTGCGAAAAACTAAATTAATTATCAGTAAGCGAAAGAAAGGAGAGAGACGTTATGTGAGCGGCGTCAGGCAAGGGAGAATTTCCTTGCGAAATTGCTGAAGAATTAAGTCACATGATATGAAAATGATAGTCTTTACAGAAGTATAAGTCTGTTTGATTTACACACTTGAAACGCGACCATTGGTGACGGGGACTTAGAAGGCCAGGGGATGAGAAAGTTAAAATGGGCCTCAAGATACACCGTTTTTGTCTACGGGCACGGACAGGCGAACATGTTTGTCACGGTTAATATGAAAGGGAACCATGATTTCCTAATTGTGATAGGGTATCATCGGTAAGATACAATCGGCGACAAAATTGTTGATACATAACATAAGAATCCACTCCCCTCCCCTGTCCCCTCCATTCAAAGTTGGGGTATTTGTTGTTTTCTAAAGGTTGCTCGAGCATTGGCACAACATTGCATGGAGGGGATGGGGGAGGAAAAGCTATATTTTCCTCTTTTGAAGTCAGGAAAACGTCAAAAAGCCCCTTTAGGGCGAAGTGTCTCAACTCATTTTGTCGCCAATTGTAGCCTAAACAAACCAACTACGCGACAGACAAGCCGCGCGAACGATTTTGTAACCGCTTAAAGCCATGCAAACGAGAAACCTCTCCTCGCAAGGTAGGTAAGAGGCAACCTCCCCGTATTAATCACAGCTACGGGTACGGGTAATCTAGCTGTACCCGTATACAAAAATGGTGTATTTTAGGTCCAACAACAGAATGAGCAACGACCAAAATATTTATGTTTCCTTAATGCAATTCTACTTTTTGACAGAAGTGCACGGGGCATTAGGTAGCTCGTGCCAATCTTGACAGGTCGTTCAATTCACGTGTAAAGAATGGTATAATTATTTTATGTACTTTATTGCGAAGCTGCAAATTACACGTCCGCGCGTTCTCAATTCGTGAAACTGAATTATTTTGCAGATTGAGAAGCTTCGGGTTGGCCATGATGGGCGTGGTCCTGCTGCCGACTGGTATGTTGAGGAAGTGATACTAAACAGCGCTGTCCGTGGAGAGCATCTCATCTTTCCGTGTCATGCGTGGGTAGCGGAGGAACATGGCGCGGGATCTGCAGACAAAGAACTTTATCCCAAACAGCCAGGTAAGAACGTTACTGATGTACAAAGTCAAATAATCAGTTGGCGAGTGCACCAGATGTGTAGATTGCCAGCAGTCTCTTATTTTTCTTTGCAAAATTACTCCACGCGTAACCCATGTTGTAACGTCGTTGTCAGCAATCGCGCTGGCGGAGATGAGAACTTGATGGATTTTAAGAGAGAAGGCGGACTGCAAACAGTCTACGTTACATGAAAAGCCATATAAGAAGCAGCCTACCTGTAGCTGAAAATTGATCTGAAAACCACAACACCCAACCTTAAACATAACCAATACACCTTGCAGTCTAGCTGGATGTATGTATAGAGCGTTTCCACTCTCGTTGCCAGCGGCTATGCAAATGTATTGGAACAAAAGAAAGCGTCTACCTAAGAAAAGGGTTCAACTCCTACAGGATTTGTTTGGAATACCAACATGGCCGCCGTTTCATTGTTTTGGAACACGAATATGGTCGAACACGGGAATGGAAATAGAGGCTACCACCTTCTTTTCCTCATAAAAACACTTCAGACATTTTCAGTGAATCGCAAAATCACGTAAAGCAATATTTAATGGGAGGACGTGAATGATGTCTATACTCCAGTTTAATTATATATTTATCTCTCCACCATTTTCCCTTTTTTTTTTTGCAGTTTCTGATTACAATGTGAGAGTAAAGACAGGAAATGTAAAGAACGCAGGAACAGATTCAAATATTTATCTTCAAATATTCGGCGATAAAGGCGACACTGGTGTCATTGAATTAAAACAGATTTGTGACACCAAAGACAGGTTTCAGCGTGGAGCAAATACCAAGATTATCTTGCAAACTGTGGATGTAGGAAATGTAAGTTATTGTTGTCTCTAGTGAATTGCACGTCTTGTTATTACTTGGGAGTTGAAGATACGGAAACTACGAACTGAAGACGACAGGCCACTGTTGGGGACGCCGTTTGTAAAAATATATTCTTATTTGTCTCCATTGTTGGTGGTTCCGTTCTCATCCTTCCATACTAACTAATAACCTTCGACTTCGTGTTTTTATAAGCGTGTTAAATTGGAGGAAACTACATATTGTGTCTCATTCCAGTCTCAAAGAGCCTCCCATCTGTAGTCGTCAGATCGTATCCTAAGATGTTTACTCGACTAAAATATGTTGGAGAGTCACGCCATCGATTTTGTCGTATTAACTTGAAAGAAAAACGTCTTATATACACCATTAGATTGTAGTCGTCCATCCGGCCTCGTCAGGCATTTGACCGTGAACGGATATCCACTCTGAATTTCAGTAGGTGGACGTTATGTTCGTATGTCGGGTTCCATTGTACAAGTCTATTGGTATAGTTTAATTTTCACCTCTTAAAAGGTCTGCTTTCTGGAGTTTTGCCTTTGTCATTGTCTTACTAAATATTGCGTTGCTTTCGCTCCCTGATGTAGCTGGAGAAGGTTCGTATTGGTCATGACGGAAGAGGCCTGGGAACAGGATGGTACCTCGAGGAGATCGTGATCATCATACATGACGAGTGCTGGATTTTCCCTTGTAACCGCTGGCTGGCTGATTATGAAGACGATGGAAAAACAGAGAGGGATCTGTATGCAGGTTAGCTTTATTGTGTGTGAACGCGCAAACAGGATGACAAGAACACAGAGAGTTGTGTAGTCTGGTGTTCTGATGGCTTTCTGCATAGCCTATTCCATCCAGGCGTTCAGATAGTAGAGCGCGGGGGTAAGTGGGGAGCGAGTTAAGTTGTACACCGGGAAAAGGGGGGGGGGGGGCGAGGGCGAGGGCGAGAGCGAGAGAACTTCTCTCCCCCTTTCCCCCTCTAGTCTCCCCTCGTTTTTTTTTTCTTCGTGGATTTTTCTCCCGCTCTCTACTATCCGAACGCCTGGAACAGGCTTTTTTCTCCAGTATCAAACGTCCACGCTAAAAGGATTTACACTTGTTGTAACTGGAACAAATTGTTATTGTTCATAGAGAGGAAGACTTATGCACACGAGCCTGACTTACAAGACTTGATAGAATACTTACAGACTGATGATACCACACTGATCGTAAATGCCGCTAACTACCTGCAGCATCTCTCGTACAGTGATGAGCAAGTCAAGGTTAAAGTACGGTAAGTTCGTCAGGCAACAAAATTTTCCATTGTAAAATTCACAAAAGACAAATTGTAGCCGCAACGTTCGGCTGACAGCTTGTAATTGGCTAAGAGACTTCTTGCAGCCCCGAGGGTTGTCCTGCGCGTGAGTTTAGTCGGCCCTGGGAAGATATTTTACTCGGAGAGTGTACTAGTTCAGCAATGCCAGGCGATTACAAGTGCTGCTTAGTTGAAAGTTTTATTCAATTATCACCACTGAGAGTTTCAGTTGTGTTGTAAGTTTCCTTTGGAAGCATTTCAGGTTACCTAGCCTTATGAACTGCAGGGTTAGGCGCAATCGGGCGCAGGTTAAACGATACGCGCGCCAGAGGAGGATGACACGCGCCTTCTCCTCTCTCGCGGGCTGTTCTTGTTTGCGCCCTAAATTTTTCATGGGCCTTCTACGGATGCTATGGCAGTAACAATTTCCCTTGTTTATGTTATAGTTTTTTGTTTTATTACAGTGAGCTTGGTGGCATCCCAGTTTTAGTACGTCTCCTTGACCACGAATTAGAAGAAATTCATCGATCTGCCGCGGCTTGTTTATTAAATTTATCCTACAGTAAATCAAGAGACGAAAACAAGGTAATTATCCTCTTTTCAACGTCGTGTTGATTGAATGTTAGAGCTTCAAAAGCGGCTCTGTTTATTAAAGTACCGTATTTTCTTTGTTAACTTTCTCACTTAGCAAGATGCCCTTAACAGGAGTGAAAAACATAAATACACACGGTTTAACCGGCACGAGATCCATGGCAGACTAGGTCGTTTTCTAGGCACCATGTGACATTTGCGTAGTCGTTTTTTTTTCTTTTATTTTCAACATGAGACCAGCCATTTCCGAAAGGGATTAGTTTTGTAGGAAACTCAGCGTCGATGGGAAAGCTAAACTTAAAACTAGGGGAAACTTTTCGAAAGTCCCTTCTACTTTAGGATACAGTGCAACTTTATAATAATTATAAGAAAATCCATAATTCTTTTATTAATCCATAACTGCAATTACTGCAATACATATAAGCGTGCTTGTCTTTGATTACTTGGCTTTTAATCCAAACATTGGAGAAATTGTTTTCTCACGTTATCGAAACTTTGATTAAACGACCCCCTGGTTTTAGTCTGCGGAAAGTCTCTCTCTGTCGTCAAATTTAGTGAGGGAATTGCGAGGTCTCCAGCCTTCAGTCACACGCCTGGTCATTTTCGTGCCTCCCGCATTTCGCTCAACGGAATAACAAAAAAAAGATACGCTGCTCGTCCTCTACATGGTTCTATCAAGTGGGCAATGTAAATAGATTCAAAAGGTTCGTATTGAGCCTTGTATTCTCACAACTCTTTATCTGTGTGTGTTCTCCTTCAGCTGGCTATTGCTCATTGTTACGGCATTGAAGCTTTAATTCGATTGTTAAAAAGAACAAGAAAAGACGAGGTAAGCAGTTAAACTGACCATCCTGTGTAGTTTAATTTCTCTTGCGTGTGCCATCAATGAAGTTAGTGATAGCAGGGTTGTCACTAAGATTTCAAGTTGCAGGGAGAATTCAACAAGTAGGGGGGGAGATCAAACAGGGAGGGATTTCTTTTGGTTCTATTTTTGTTCTATTTTCCTATGACAGTAGCCGGGGGAAATCCCCGGCCCCCGCCTCTTAATGACAGCCCTGTAACAGGCAAGTGTATATTTCCTCTGTTGAGAGGAGAAGAGAGATGTTCATTTAGGGATTTGAGAGCGACCGTCAGGAAAAATGGAGCAAAATCTTGATTTCGTGGCAGGAGTTAAAAAATCGGCTTCTTTCATTTCTTGTCCATGGATATCTTTTAGGTAGATAAGAAACCTGTTATAGATTGTTTCCACCAAAAGCCGTTTATTTGTGCGGAAAATTGTCGAGTCCAAATTTCTCCGCGCAGTTTTTTCTGCGAACGCAAGGAGGGTTGATGTTAGCAAATTTAGGGTTGAAAGTTAGGCCATTTTGAGACTCCGACCACGGAAAATGTTATTTTGTACTTTTCTCGAAAATAAAAGGCTTTTTTACTAGAACAATTTACATCAGATAACTTATCCCCCATCTGCCATGTAAGAAATGGATTTTTCAACTCCTGCCACCCAACGTCATCATTGTCATTCGTCCCCCCTGGCTGAGGTGCGAATTCCTCGCAGAACCGCCGCCCGTGCTCATTTTGTAGTCATAAACAAAGGTGCTGGACAGTTCTGTCTGAGCTCTGATACGAGGAAGCGTCCAATCTCAATACTTTTTTCCTGAGTTGGAAGCAACGAACAGCAGTAAAAGTCTTTGAAAATGTATTGCAATACATCAAAATGTATGCAGCAGGAGTTTGAGCCAAAACTGTCAAGGGATATTTTAAAAATGTCGAAGAACAAGTCATTCTACTTCAGAGCAAGGTTGGAGCAATTTATAGTGCTTCTAAAACTAAAAAGTACTTTTTAAAGAATAACACGATAGGCAATCGGCTCTTGTTTTAAGAATTAGCAAACGTTGAATTTACTTGTCCCGAAAATTCAAACTAGTGGCTCCTTCTTCCTGATGGTAATTTATTTTCGAAATTCCAAAACAATTTCACAGCTGAATTTTGAGCGACTTTTAGTTACGGACTTTTGCTCCAACGATTTTTCTGAAATTCCTCTGGCATATTTATTATATCAATTAAAGCCGATACCAGAAATTTCAGTAAAAAATATCAGCAAAATTTTTTACTAGACGCGATTTTCTTTGGACAGTAGGGTCCTCTTAAGCGCTAATTTCTCAAGAAATATTTACCATCAATGAAATCGGAATATTTCGTATTATTGCCGAATGATATCTGTTATTGTTTGCAAAGTTTCGCAGCCATCGCGTCAAAAACCAAAAAGTTATGACGGAAAATTTGTCACAGCTAAATGCTCTTGTATTAATTACGGAGCCACCTTAACACGAAAGCTCTTCTTGACAGCTGGCTCTTTCACCTCTATGGCTTAATAACAACTTTGCTGCAGTTGCATATATAAATAATTATCCAGTTGCTCTAGATTGTGATTTGTTACATAGCTGCAAATTTTGAAGCTGGAAATTCATTAAACCTCGGTATATTGTAACGGCGGTCTTCGGTCAAGGTAACAGTGAACAGAGCCTCTGACGTCATGGATTTTGCAACGTTGCCCGCTCAGAGATTTCATTGTTTCAAACAGTTTCCTTGTTAGATGTCATGTGATTAAGAAGTAACCGATGAGAGCGTGCGTTATTGGGAAAAAATTTCCTGCTATATAACAACACTGCTTATAAGGGTACAAAAAGGGCGTGAGATTAAAGGTAATGACCACTAAGAAATAAAGGTCGCGATTGTAAAACACATCCACCTTTTCTGTTCGCTTGGAAATGGTTGGAGAGTAGTGTAGAAAATATGCATGCTAGACGGGTATCACCTTTTAATGATCAAAGGTCGTTCACAGAATTTTTAAATTTGTTCCAGGTGAAAGAAGTACTGTTAGGAGTTTTATGGAACCTTTCATCGTGTGAAGTAAGTTTTTATAAGTTGTAATTGTAGCACCTCCTACGCTTTGCAGACGCCAAATATATCTTTTCAGTATTGTCGAGGAAAAAATATTTAAATAGAGTTTAACTGATAGGCAACCACTTGGTGTGTTAAAAATATGAATATGTCTATTGTTGGAGGTGACTCACTGATGAGCGTCCAAGGTAAAGATAGTAAAGTTAGTCAATAATCTCCCTCTTTGTTTTTTACGGTGATAGTGTGTGCTCTTTTCTCGCGGCATAAACTGTTAATACCACGCGTGTTAAGCTTTTTTTTACTTTCCTCCAACAGGATCTGAAGCTTCGTATCATCGAAATATGTCTGATTGTCCTAGTAACTATAGTAATTATACCGTATTCTGGTTGGACCAAAACCGCTGCCCAGAGTAACGCGCCGATCCCGTCAATTAAATGGTCGACCGTCTTCCGTAATGCCAGCGGTGTTCTTAGAAATGTGTCCTCAGCGGGGCCTGAGGCAAGACGAGTTATGAGGGACTGTTATGGACTGGTGGACTCCTTTGTGTGGATCATTAAGGCGCCTATTGGAAAAACTGATATTGATAATAAGGTAACGAAACAGGAAGGAAATATTGTTCCCTAGTACGCTAATACGCTAGGTGACGCTCAGTCACTTGAGCACATTATCACCGAATTGACTGGAAATCAGTATCAAAGTAACTGCTGCTAAAAACAACAACAAAAATAACGAACTCGGTTGGGTAAAACGGAAGAAGATTCAAACGGGTGGCATTCCGGTAAACTTGAAAACGTTTGCGAAAGTGTGACGTTTGTCAGTTTACCGATTTATTCGATTGTAAAATTTAGGGCTCGCCTTCATATAACGTCACGGCGGCCATATTGGTGTACAAAACAATTAAACAGCGGCCATGTTGGTCTACAGAAAAAATCATGTGGGGATTGAACTCTTTTCGAATGTAAAAACTTTCTTTTGTTCCAAGAAATGTGCATAGCTGCAGCTTGCTGGTCACGTGACTGAAAACGCTCTATTAACAAAAAAGACAAAAGATTTAGCTAAAATAAACTGATCAGGTCCGCTAACTCTCTCCTATGGTGTGATTATTGAAATTAAACCTATTCGGCAGTACTTTCACATGGTAAATTTTTGTTCCGCGTAGTTTACAAAATGAAATGAGGGAAAGTTTTACTTCGGTCACTATTATCAGTGGAGAGTCAAGGTGACTTATCTTTATTGCTTTTTCAGTCTGTAGAGAATTCCGTCTGTATTCTTCGCAATTTGTCATATCGTCTGGAAAACGAAGTTGACAGAGAAAAATATAAGGACGCTCCCATGATTGAACCAAGCCGCAAGGAACCCGAGAAACACGATCCGGGTTGCATGGCAGGCTGCGGAGGTGCATCAAAGAAGAAAAAGAAGGGAACAATCAAAGAATCGGAACAGCCTCAAATTAGAAGAGACCCGGTCGAAGGAGTCGAGTTACTATGGCAACCCGAGATTGTCAAATCATATTTATCTATAATGGCAGAATCGTCAAATCCTGAAACGTTAGAAGGCTCGACTGGCGCTGTACACAATTTAACGGCTTGTGGATGGCGGGTAAGACAAATTTTACTTGATGGAAGTTCCTCCCTCTCTTCGTCTTTGTTCTCTGTCTCTGTCTCTGTCTCTCTCTTCTGTTTGGGCCGTAACGTAACGGTTTCCCTGGAATAGGCTTGTTGCATCATGACGACCAAAATAATGCTCGTGTTGAAGACTATGTAACTTCCTCTTTCCGAACCATTGCATCTGTGAAAAGGAAGAAGGTAAAAAGGCAGCGGGTGTTTCACGCCAAATACTAAGCTTTTTTTGCTCAGAAACGGCCCACTTAGGTTAAAGAGCTACCCTCGGGTTTAAGACATTATGAACAGTACTTCAAGTTCAAGGTCGTTCTACTCTTTATAAGAACAATGTTGTATCAGCCCGCACCGCTCGAGATGATAATAGTGTACGAACTAACAGGATATCTGGTGGAGGATGGAGGTGTGGAGAGTTGACGAGTAACCGCGAACAGACGGGAAGGGACGAAGGGCTATAAAAAAAGAAGCGAGCGGGGAAACCCGACAGCTCGTAACTTGAAAGCGAACCCCAAACACGACAGCTTACTAGCCTTCTATTGCAAGTGCTTATAGCAACACTACCCCACTCGTTTGTAACTGTAAAGAGTGTTTTGACATTTTTCCCGCTTTCCTGATACTCTGATGCAATCGAAACGCGTTGATTTGCTTATGTTTTCGTTTGCAGTGGTCCATGGTGGCGCGTTCCGCTGTCCGGAAAGAGAAAGGTCTTCCCATTTTAGTGGAACTTTTACGAATGAACTTCGATCCTGTAGTAAGGGCTGTTGCGACTGCTCTTAGAAATCTTGCAATTGATCCAAGGAACAAGGACCTAATAGGTTTGTATGAGCATCTGCTGCAACATGTATTAAGGCTAATGTTACGAAGTGGTCCCATGTCCTGTCTGCGGTCTGCCAAGGGATGTAGGCCTTATCCGTTAGATATTTTAAGCAGCGGCTGACTCCAGGAGACTTTCGTCTTCCAAGGCCGCGGGAGAATGTCAAACATGAAACATTCCTTATAAATGAAGCTTCTACGGAGCTGTGTCTCGAAATTTATTTTAAAAAATAACTAACAGTTGGAACTGCCACCAAAATTGAGTGAAACAAAAAAATAACCCCCTCAAAACATGGAAAGAAGGTATAAATAACGCAGCAAATACAAAAGGAGGTACGGATGGACAAACTTGAAGAAGATAAAAACGGATTGCAATTGTGGGTTTTTGAAAACTTGTCAGCCTAACAGTTTTTAAGGGTTCATTTTTGTTGTCTGTAACGTTTGATATGATGCTTGGGATGTACATTTGTCGGACAAGAAGCTGTGCAATGTTTTCCTTATTTACAAGTACTTTCTTTGTTAACGTCAAGTTCCATAGTGTACAAGGCAGCGTAATTGGCAATATTGATAAAATGACCCAGACAGTCGCGACACAGCCCCTTAAAAACCCAAGTACTTACACTTGCAAACAGTACATGTTTTTAGTATTTTTTCACGTTTCCACTTTTGGTGCCTGTAGGTAAATACGCTACAAAGGATCTTATTCACCGTCTCCCTGATCCTGAAGCACCCAATGACAGAGTTGAAGAGAACACAGTCGGCGCAATACTATGTGCTGTTCATCAGGTGGTCAACAAGAGCATCCCAAATTCAAAGTAAGACACCTACAAACAGCCTGCTTTTATAATGCTGTGGAAAAACGCGAAAAAAAAAAACAACAACAACAAAACAACTACTGCTACTACAAACAACCAACATTGAAATGGGCGCGGTACCTAGCCCACAAGAAAAGGAGAGAAACTTTTGAAAGTTGAGATTTACTCAGGATATACCATAAATTTGTAGATGTTTAAGTAAGAAATTTTTGAGTGTCTAAACGGAGTTCTTTATACTTTCGGTTGCCTGGTAGGGAACTAGGCAAAATGCATTGTTATTTGGTTAAAGTAAGTGTGTAAACCGGAACTTATATTGAAGGAAGTCCATGGTGTTTTAGACGTATTCTGTCCCGCGTCTGTACAAAATAAGATAGGGCACAAAGTCAAGGAAACGCGCCGGCAACCAGACCTATCGGCCATTTTGACGGGGTCGACTTGCACTATGGGATTGTTTTTGGGCCAGCTTGTGCGCAACTTCGTAATAGCCAATGAAAACAGTGCTAATGTTGTCCCAAAACAGTCCCATAATGCAGTTTGACGCAACTTCAAAATGGCCTATCTTATAGCAGTACCACCGCGCAGACTGAGTGCCAGCGTGCAGTGTCTGTTGTATTGATATAATTCTGTTTTTACTTCTCTTCAGACACGTGCGCAGTGTTGGAGGACTAAAGAAGATTGTGGCGATAGCGAAGTCGAGGGACAGATACTCGCCAAAGATAGTCAAAACAGCTAACCAGGTATGTTTATCACCAGTTATCGATAATAACAACGAATATGACGAGAAAGTTATCTTTTGATGATACCGATTACTATGCGACTATCCTTGGCTTAAGGAACACAAAGTCAAAAACAGGAGGTAGCAGGCCGCAATTTCCTTGACACTGATATAGAAAGAAGCCTCAACCTGCATTTCCTACTGTAACGATGCAAAAGGATTTTCTTAACTCCTAGAGTGTGAAGAGGATATGCTAACGTTTCCTTCGAAAAGAAATCGGCTGAAAATAAATAAGAGACCAGCGGTTTCCGTGAAAAAATTGATGCAGGTGGAATACTATTTTTCGCGGTCGACTCACAGACCTATTTTCACTCGTTATTTTGTTTGTTTGTGTGTGTGTGTGTGTGTGTGTGTGTGTGTGTGTGTGTTTTTTTTTGCTTTTTTTAAACGCTTTTTTCCTTATAATCAAAAAGTTTTAAGTGGTCAGGTTTTTTGGTTTATTCGTCTCCAATTTTTTTCTTCTTCTTGCAGGTTTTAATAACAATTTGGAATCTAGTGCCTCTTCGAAGTTCTCTGAAAAACGAGGGCTGGGAATTTACGAAAGAAATAGGCGATGAGTTTGGTCACGTGCCCCCAACGCCACGCCCTTTTGAGGACATAACAATGCCACGAGGAAGACAACCGCCGCCCGGGTCTTTAAAGAGAGAACCTCGTCCGATAAGAGCCGAGGAGACATCCATTCCTCAACCTCAATTCTACGAGCCCGAAAAAAGCGGTCCACCACCAAGTACTTCCACCAAAGGCGACGGTTACGAAGGGGACGACGAAATACGCCGACGAAGGGCGCCGAGAGAGGTCCGAGATGAAATAGAAATGGAGGATATCGGCGGTTATCGGGAACTCGATAATAATCCGGATCCGGAGCGTACCGGTGGTGCCCAGGCTTTACCTCCGGCCTACGATAGTAGACAGCCGCGTGAAGAACCACTGTACGCCCAAGTTGATAAAAGCAAAAAGAAAATGTATAAATTGCAAGGAACTGAAGGACAACAAAGCGATTCTTGGGTGTAAAACAGTTTTGCCGTGAAATGTGTCGAGTCGTTTTGATTTCTTTATGTTGGTTCTCCAAGACTTCAATTTTGTCGCCCTTTTAATTGGCGCGAACGAGGTACATTAGCAAACCAACAAAACGATCAAAAGGACATAATGAAAAGTGAAGTGAATGTGACGTTTGTTTTTTAAAACAGCCAGCTTGGAAAAAAAATTCTGACGCTTTTTCTTATTGCTGCCTCTGAACGTTGGATGATGAATTACCTCTGTGGAAGAAATATTACTTGACTCTATGCCAACACTAAGGTTAGCAATAGTAAAAGCGTTGAAGTGACTTTTTTTATAGAGTTTGTTCCATTAATAACATATGCAGATAACTCTCAGCAGGTCAAGGTAACGAAGAGTAGCGATTTTTTAATTCATTAGTGTAAATTTTTTTTGAATTCCATAAAGCATGTATAAAGATCCTTTAGATAGATTTAAATACTAGCTTGAGGGTCTAGAAGGCTTTTTAGGCTTTTCTTGGCGAAGGTAGAATAAAAACGTTTGTCACGGCTTGGTTAGCACTCCGGGTTCCAGGCCGTCCGAACTTGCCTGCGTCCGTTGCCATATGATTGCGCGTGAGACTGGGGTAGAGTTGTGTTGAATTACTTTGTGGGATTTTTTGAGGGGACGAATTTTGACCTATTTTCCTGTGCAACCTCATAATAAACGATTCCATGGCGCACTTCAACACAGCATTGAGCAGTCTTACCTCAAAATATCTCAAATTGCTCTATGGGATTTTTTGCGGGGACGAATTCTAACCTAGTTTCCCTCGCAACCACGCAGTAAACAATCCCTTGGCGCATTTCGACACAGCATCGACGCAGTCTCACCAGTCATAACGTCGAATATCTGAAAACACTCATGATCATATACCTGAGGTCAGAATAGGTTGCGTTCAAATTTCCTTTGTCTAAATATTTCTCCCAAGTCAAGCCAGGTCTTCACAGGCCCAAGCTGAGTGACAGAATTTTTAAGGCCGCTGAAGTAGTGATTTATTTTGTAAGAAAATATTAAAAACAACGAACAGTTTTGTTATCTTGTAATTGTGATGTTTTTTGAAGATGGATTCATATTTAGCGTACACGTATAGCTGTCTTAGTAACAGTTTGAATCTTCCGCTGTTTTTAACCTCAAAAACAGAACTCCAGCGAGCTAATGCGACGGCTATACGCGTACACTACATATGAATAACTACCCTAAATAACGTTGACTATAAGTAACCGATACCTATGCGATGTTTGTTTTGGACCAGATGTTTGAGGATTGACTCGGCTGTGCGCGGTGGTTCGCGTTTTCATTAATGCACAGCAGTACCCAATTTCTCTCAAAAAAATAGTGTTAATTTAGGATCAACACAGTAGATTGTCTATACGGTTACACAGAAGCATTCAAAATAGCTTGTGCATTTTAAACGTGCCTATGTTTCAAACTCCGTGGATGGTGTCACCATTTCAAATGAACTTAAACTTATTTGATGGACATTTTTCAAGGTACAATTTATTTCCTATGACTTGACAAAAAAAGCACACACACACAGGCAGCCTATGCTCTATGGGAGTTTGTTGGAATTTGTATCTTATAAGAGAATGTATGAGAACAAACAAAGTACGTTCTAAATTCCGCTTTCTGGAAAGATTAAAAATAAAAATCACTCGCCTTCTGTCTGAGTCGTGTGTTTCACAGTCATCTCTCGAAAGTTAAACTCACCCAAACGGCTTCGAAATGGCTCTAGAAGCGAACTGATTGTAAAACACGCAACAAATCTGAATCATTTTTATTTCGAATTTTTTCCTTCATTTTCCTGAAGAGCAATTTGAGTCTAAAGACGTCTAATTGTTTTGACTTTGAGCTGTGTCACAAACTTTATCAAATTTTAAACAGTGAGAGCTGCCACCAAATTTGGAAAATAATATAAATAGCGCTTCCCAATATTAAAAGAACGTATAAACAACACAGCAAATACGAAAAGAGGCGCCGATTGACAAGCTTCTGTAACTTGAAGAAGATTCTAAAAATCGGATTGCAATTGAGGTTTTGAAAATTCGGCAGCCCAGCTAACAAGTTCACTTTTGTTGTTTGTAACGTTTGATACAATGCTTTGGGGGAGATATTTGCTGGATACGAAGTTGGATTTTGTCATCTTAACTAAATTCCTTAATAACGTCAAGTTCCATACGAAAAAAGACGCGGTTATAGGCAATTTCAACCGAATGAACTAGACAGCCGTGTCTCAACCCGTTTAACACCTGACCTGAACATTCAGCGTTCCATTATCACAATCATTGCAACAACAATGTTTCACCACAGGAACAATAACGTGATTGAACGCACAAAGTTACAAACAGGAGATACTCAATGGTGGTGGCAAGAGTTAAGCAGCCATTGTTCGGGAATTGAGCCCCGACCAAGAGAGCGGCGGAAATCGAGCCTGGCTAAGAGTTCGCAGTTTCGAAACTGTAACGCGTTCCCGTTTTAACTTTAGGACTTCCCATGGCGATGTACACTAGTGTACATAGCGGACTAAAATACTTTTGACTTAAGTAGGCCACAAACACGGAAGGGCGAAGACGTAAAGGGAAATTATAAGTATCATACAAAACTAACCTTTACGCTGAGACGAAATATTTCAGCACTACCTGTAATAAACAGCAACTTTATAAATATTTAAGATCACGGAAGTGGTTTTAAGACTAATGAAAGTAAATTTGGGAGAAAGAAAAGATACAAAGGCTTACGCTTAGGTAATTTTTCATGACTTTTCTGAGAGTTGATCATACATGTCCGCCGATCGTGATCGAAGCTTGATTTAGCAGAATGAACACTTTTGAAAGCCTGCTTTCATTCCTTCGTTCGCTTGAAGACGCTGGTCAAAGACCAATACTTAATTGTTTCTGGTAACAAGTTCCGGATATTTCAACCGGATGATTTTAAAAGTAACCAAGGCATAAGGACAAACATTAAAAATTAATTTTGGTATACTTTCGAAAAGTCGTCGAAGTCAAGTTTGTAATTAGCAACGAACGACTTCTCGTTTTTTAGTATAGGGTCTATCCGCACCCGATCATTGGATCATTCCAATTGATGCCATACTGTATAAAAAGCGGTTAGGACTAGTTTGTCATTCATTTTACTCCTAGCACGGAGGCTTCAACAAACTAATCGACATTTCGAACATAAGTAATTCTAGGGGTACAAGGAAAGGAAAATGAGTAGCGTTCCTCTAATAGAAGCATTTGGCCGCATCGTGTATGGTTTTACACGAGGATTAACCGAGCACTACAATCCACAGGAACCCGAATACACAGCAGAGATTTTGGGTTGCAATCCTCTGGAAAGCACAGGGCGAGAATGGTATTATAAACCTGTAAGAGAACTCATTTATCAAGAATACGGTGAAAAAAGATCGTCACCACCGTCATTTAATCTCGACATAAGGATTATAAATGCGAGTTCTACACAGGAGCACGACGAACTGCGGCAAAATGATGATACAGAGACAGCAATGGCTTGGAAGAAGTTAAGACCATCTATTCTTGAGACAATTTGTGACTCAATGTATATTGGATCTTTGATCTCACTTCTGGCCGCCATTAGCATTGGTACCATATACATCGCACTAGCTTTCTTGATTTATAAAACAGTGATGAATTGTCAATATCAAAAGGAGAAAATGACTTCGCGCCAACAGTGGATGAGGACTATTGCTGACGTAGTTAGTTGTGCTCTGATTTACTTCTCACCGGTTTTGAATTTACTATTTTTGTTTCGCTCGTTTCAGCTGAAAGGACTTAGAAGAAAACTTCTCCAGACTTGTCTCATTATATACTGTCTGGATTCACTTTACCGCGTAACACTGCAACTTATGGGAAAGCCTTTTTTCACAGTTTCTGTCTTGTACAACGTTCCAGTTTATATTCTTTGGTTATGCAGTTCAATTTTGCAGTTTTTTATTGTGGCACGACACTTTTTAAATCGATCAAAACATAAAAGACTACTCCTGCTTGGTAAAATGTCTGTTCCTACTATTTGCTGTGTTATTTTGGGTTTTTACATGAAGTACTTCATTTACCGTGCTTACAACAAAGAAAAGAAAGAAGACAGAAAGCTGGTTATTGCTCTATTTTCTCCTCTTGCTGGGCTGGTACTAAAGGCCGCTTCACGAATTTGTGTTCAGCGTCTATGGAACCTGACTCATCCGGGATATTCATACGTACTTTTAGCACAATTGTATTTCGGTTCAGCGATAATGGTCCGTGGTTTACAAGCGGAACTTAACAGCCTCCAATCCATCGCAATTCTTGGAATAATTCACGGTGCTGCAGAAGTCGTAGAACGAAGCACCATAGTTGTGACTGATCACGTTTGTCATTCGCTTCGGACAAGAAGGGCATCTCCATGGGGAAGTTTTCGAACTCCTCGCCGAGAAAGGCTTGTGGCCGATGTAGCTATAATGAGTATGTTGTACGAATCAACGGCTATAGTTTCTGTCAATGGCTCCCTCTACATGTACCAATTGATCTTTTTAGAAACGACTTCTGTCACAAGTATGATTAAAGAGTTTGCCCTTTCCACTTCAGTCATGCTGGTAATAGAATGGTTTTTCATCAGCGTTTCTCTAGCGATTGAGACTCGATATCAGAACATGGCTGTTATGGCTGTATGGCGTTGTCAATGGAAACGACATACTTTAGTAGCAATCTTGAATGTATTATTTATAGGCGTATGGGTCATCGTGAATCTCTTGGATGTCGTACACGGACACTTTGTAGGCGAACCCTTAAAACAGTGCAAAATGCCTTTTTCCTAATAATGATATCTCAATGGACAACTTGAAATCAAAAAAAGGACAAAGGAACCGTTTGTGGAACACCGAGTTGTAATGACAAATTTGTAACAACGACGTTTTTCACCAAGGCCTTCACTTCCTTAATCCAGTATTTACTCTCAAATATTTTCAAAACTGCTCGTCGTGT